TTTCCATCGTCATACCTAGTGGAAAGGGAGTTCAGCGCTGTTACCAATCTCCTAACGAAAAAAAGAAACAGACTGGACATCATTAGCCGAGGAGATTTAAGATTAAACCTTACAAAATTGACGCCAAATGTTGATAATTTATTATTAAAGCATCAGGTTCATCCTTCTCACTAAAAACATTTACTTATTGCTTAGTTTATTTTATGTTTATTTTATAACAGATACAAAATTTTATTTTGAGTAGTTTTAATTTAAATTCAATTAATAAATGTATAAAACTTAACATGTGTTTTTACTTTAAGTTTTTAACAATAAACTTAGGGTAGGGGGTCTACCCAAAACCGAAAAACATGACAAGGGGTCTACGACACAAAAAAGTTTGGGAACCTGTGGTCTAGATCGATATTCAAAGTATTCAAGGAGAAGAGGTGAAAGATGTCATCATTAACAAATTTAATAATTATTATTACATAATAAAATATGAGAATATAGACGTATACTACTTTCGGCTCATATGTTTAAACGTGTTCTCCTTGATATTTTTTCGATTCTTTCTATATTCTTTTTATTACATGTCAGTATGAAGGATTGCAGAAGGAACAACGTGGAATATCCACAGGACTCGCCGAATGGAATACAAATTCTGTAAAGCTCTGATCCGCCAACGAGATTTCCTTCAGATGTGTCACGTCCTACTCGTTTAAAAATCATAATAACCTTTTCGGAGATAAACTAACAACCATCCTCAGATTATCGCTTTTTTTGTATTATTTTTTCATCGTCATCCTAAGACGAAATGTATCTCCATTTAAAAGACGCCCTTGACCAATCATTTTCTATCGGAACTGTTTCGGCATTTTTAGGCCAATTGAGATAGAAAGAGAGATATAAGAAGTATGCAATAAAATTTACCGGGAAACTTGTCTAGGTGGTTGGATTGCTCAAACCATTACTTCTTAATAGTACTGCAACGTAATAACGATATATGGTTATTGGAGAATTGTTTTTCAGGAAATATAACACGATTTACGACCATTGCGTTTCTCAAACAAAAACATGTTATATCGATTTCAGAAAAGATGTAATGTTGGTTGATCTAAGTTTTGAATCAGTTCATTATATAAGTTTTATGACCCTACAGAAATATTTAGAAATTATTTGTTGTGTGTTGATTAAATAGTTAGAAACTATACGATTTTATGTGTAACCGTAACGCGATGACGCTTATTGAGACTACTTCGTCCCTATTTGATTGAAAATTCATATCTGTAACATTCTTTATAACCGTCCCAAAATTAATTCTCTGATTAAGAGTCTGATAATGAACCCTTATATCTGTTTATTATAAAGCGGGTAATTTGCCACTCCCACATGTTGATAACGTACACTGCGAGGGACAAATTAATCTCTACCCCTGAATTTTCTTCTGTATTCGGTTCGTCTTCTTACGTATAAGACGACACTTTTATAATATAAGTTTCATCAGGCTCTGGAATGAAACTGTGGATAAAACACGCCACGCATGCATTTCATATCTGGGTATCTGCCAACAATCATCTACGCCATCCAGACTCCGCTCCCCAAAAAACCTTTTCCACGCATATACATTTTTCAATCGCCCCGTAGGTGAGGACCCTTCTATGATAGTCCATATCATCCAATGTTGGAATTCTGAACACAGTGGAATATTGTTTTATCGTTGTGGAGTCTCAGTTGTTGGGAATTTAATGAAATTAGTTTGGTTTTACATAACTTTATTCGTTACTTGGTCTATTTAAGATTCATCTAAGACTATGCTCGTCATATTATTCAAAATACTTATTCTTCTGACAAAGTTAATTCTTATTAATACGTTCTCTGTATTATCTCGTGTGTATTCTCTGTGTTGGCTTTCGGGCCTCGGACTCATTATACTGTAAGAACCCTTTGTATCCTATGTATCACACTGCAGTGTAACTAGCCATGATCTTACCCTAATAAACATATATACGAGCATCTCCAAAATATTAATGGTATTAATTATAGCAGTTCAATTTGTTATTTTTATTTTATTGTTATATATTTTGTTTTTTTGAGTATGTATTATGATTTTTTACAATAAATAGTATTATATTATTAATGATTGGACACAACAGTTGATTCAGTTGACGAATAAGTCTGAGAATGGCCCCTCGAAGAGTTAAGATACAAAGTTGGTCGAAAAATTGGTGCTTTAAGACTTATTTTAAATATAAATAGGGCCGTCTTAGGCATAGCGCCTAAGAGCCAAATAGATTTTTTAAGGAATACGAGAATTTTTAGGGCCCACAAAAAATATAATTAGAATCCCAGAATACACATTTTGTTTTTAAGTTATGCAACAACCTTAATGCAGCCCTGGAAACAGTACCTGTAAATCAATTATAAAATAAGTTTATTGAAATAATTCATGAATATAAAAATATGAGTGCGCGCACAATGCAAGCACGTTTATCTAAACACGCGACGATGATGCACATGCCGAGGTAGGTTTCAGAGGGCGCAACAGCGGCGTCGGCCCTTGAGTTCACCTCCTCTGTATATATTATTCAACGTGTTCTCCTTTTCCTTCTACTGATACTATTATTATTGTTTATTAATTATAAAAAAATACATTTTATAATATCCGATGTTCTGCATGGCAATACACTACAATCTGATTACAAACGTTTCTACATTTATTCTGCATACGTGCACAGTAAATTTGGGTAATATAATGATTATGCATAAGTATAATGTACATACTATTTGCCGGTTGAATTTGCGTCGCGACGCCACTGCTCTCCTGGTACATGCGAACCGTGCGTCGAAGCGAAACTCACGTTGAGATTCCACGTGAAAATTATAAAAGCAGTTGCGTATTCCAAAGAAACAATATGGAAAATTTCATTCGAGCACGTTCCTTTCTTGCTTCAGCATCACATGTGAACCCGAAAGCTCCGCCGATTACCTGAATAATTGCTACAAGAATTTAAAAAAAAATAAGTAAGTTGTTATTTAATTGTCCGATAATCATTATAATAATTTTATTTTACTTGTATAAAGAAAAGTTGAACTGCAAATTTAGTTACTCTATCAATTGCGGCTAGCTGTTCGTAAACAGTGAATGCAGTATAATCAATCCAAAAAGAAATTTACGACCTGGATGATGTCTAATCCGCGGACGACGCGTAACAATACGTTCGGTTCGCTGGGCGTCCGCAACGGTGACACCTACAACGTCAGCGAGAATTGCCTAGGTAATAAAATGAATGTATTTTGCATATTTCGAAGAAGCTATTAGATTGGTATGTTTGAATATATTGCGTAGCTAACCTCGAGGAGATCCTAAGGAAATTGGCAGTTGAAGATCAGACGTTGCGTACTTTTCGCAGAGCGATCGGTTTCGAGCAGAACATCAGGAAGGATCTCATTCCGCTGCTGATCAATCTGAAAGATGATAGTGGATGCGATGCAAGAGATGGAGGTGGTGAAGGAGTAGTCGTAGATGGTAAAGAAGAAGGTGAAGGAGTTGTTGGAAAACACATATTATATGCATGCAGCGGAAAGAATGGGTACGCGACCAAGATCATCGATACTGCGATCAAAATTCTAGTGGATTTGACGGTGCCCGTGGAATGCCTGTTGCCTGTGGAGGCGATTTCGCGCACCGACATCGGCAGACACACCATCTTCGAGCTGAACCATCTTCTGACAACATCGAAGGAGGCTTTCACCGATAGTCGCAGCACGAAAGCCGTCATGGACCATATGAAGCATGTTGTCGAAAAAGAGGCAGTCTGTCGTCTGAACGTTCAGCAATGCGAAAGCATCAATAACTGTCTGCTGCTGTTCAGAAATATCCTGCACATACCGAACACGACGATGACGACAAGAAGAGAGCACCAACAGCATCATCAGCAGATGCTACAAGGCGTCTCCAATTGTTCGTTGTCGTGCAGGAGTATGCAGAACGAGATCATCTGGAACCTGTTCACGCAGAGCATCGACAAAATTATCATTTACCTAATGACCTGCCCACAGAAGGTAACTAACTATAGCATTATCTTTCTTTTTTCTTCTTTGTTGGGACAATTGACATGAGCGTGTATGTATATTGCAGATGTACTGGGGTGTAACAATGGTGCAACTCATTGCCCTGATGTATAAGGATCAGCACGTGGGTACTCTTCAGAAGCTATTGAACTTATGGTTGGAGGATTCATTAAGCGAGAGCAGCGAAGACAACGAAAGCAACACTTCACCGCCGGGCAAGGGAAGCGGGGACAGTTCGCCCGTGGTCACATCTGATCCTACGTCCGATTCTAGCGACAATGGGAACGCTGCCGCTGCTACTTCTGCTATAGTCCACAGCCCGCAAATCCGCTCCAAAGCTACCCTTCTGATTAACATGAAGCGGGTCAAGTCCACGGAGACGGAGATCAGCACCAGCAGCGGAGTGTCATCGATGTTCACGACGGATACCGGCCAGAGGGAGGAAAACAAACGGGATCAGCTACACCAACAATTTAATCAGAAGAGAAAATGCTCGCAGAGCGAGATTTCGGACTGTGGTTACGCAACGCAAGTGGAGAACAGGGAATCCGTCTATACGACGTCCAGCAACGACGACGATCAACCTCTCCAGAAATCGATGCATCAAAAACCGCATCACAGCTTACAGAAAAGTCGCTACAGCAATCCGAAGAATCGCGCAACAATCGCGCTCGATAGGAAGGAGCTGAGAAGGAAGAAGTTAGTCAAGCGCAGCAAAACCAATATGTAAGCGAGCACGACACCAGACATTTCCTATACAAAAGATTAATTTTCTTATTTCCAACCCATTTTCAGTATCAATATGAAAGGGCTTATGCTTCACACGCCGACCGACGAGGACATCTCAAACATCTTAAAAGAGTTCACGGTCGATTTCCTGCTAAAGGGCTATGGTAACCTGGTACGCGACCTGCACGCTCAGCTCTTGGCGAACGTACGACAGATGCCAATCGATACGTCGCACTTCTTCTGGCTGGTTACCTACTTCTTGAAGTTTGCCGCGCACCTGGAACTAGACCTGGATCACGTCAGTCCAGTCCTTTCGTACGACATCATCTCGTACTTGACATTTCAAGGTGTTTGGTTGTGCGAGGAGCTCGAGATCGGCTGGGGAATGCCGTTCGCTGACATCGCCGTCGACCTGAAACCCTGCCTGAGACGTCTGCATCTGGTAAAGTCGGCCTGCAATGGATGATGGTGAACGACATCAGAGATCAATGATATTTATTTATATTTCGTAAACAGGTGGTTACTGCTATTCGTGAATACCTGCAAGCAGTCGAAACGTACCAGAAGTCTTCTCACCTCACCATCGAAGACCACTGCGCTCTGCAGAAACTGCAAGCGCAAATATCGCAAACCGGCGATCTGAGACACCTTTTCCTGCTGCTGTTGCGCCAATACAAGCCCAGCATCCAGAGCAGACAATATCTGCAAGATCTCATTGTCACCAATCACATATTCCTGCTTTTCCTGGACGGTATCCGGGACAAGGATATCAACATAATGGAACACCTCAAACAGTACGTCACTTCTTAAAAAATAATGTAATAAAATCTCCCAAGAATATAAGATTGGAGAAAATTTGTTATCGAAAAGAGATTAAATGCGTTGATTGCGAATATTGCAAAGTAGTTTTGTATTTGATTTTTTGTTTGCTTCTGTACAAATATGAAGGTTCGCCACCGTCGAGATAATGGGACAGTATGGACTACTGTTAGAGGAGTTCAGGGAGAATGGTGAGTTCGTGAACAATTGCGTTTTCACTATGATGCACCACATCGGCGGAGATCTGCAGCACGTATCTAAACTCTTCCAGCCCAACATCCTAAAGACGTTCTCGCAGATTTGGGAAACGGACTACGAGATCTGTGATGTAGGCATTCGAAGATTTCTCAATTTGTTCTTAACTTGACAATGATTTAGGATTGGTCCGACCTTATCGAATACGTGATACATAAATTCATTAATACGCCTCGAGCTAATTGCTGCCCGGGATCGTCTTCTTCGACGTCTGCGGCTGCAGCAGTTGTTTCGACTTGGACTTCGATTACGACAACAACAGCAGCAGCTGCGGCTGGACTAGTAGCAGGACTGCGGAGGGAAAAACCAACGGCTGATATAAACACGATGTCAACTACGTAAGAGAGTAGTAGTTGTTTCATTTTATTCAATTATTTTGTAATTATCATGTAAATCCCTAGATGGACGCATGAAGATCGCAAAAACCTGGCGGTGTTCTACAAACGATGCATTGATGGAGGAGACACGATAGCCAGCATCACTAAGAAATTTCAAGAAATCGCCACGAAATCTAGGAGGAGTCAACAGGCCTTCGTCGAAGAGTTGCTGCAACAAGGGGTGATCTCCCGAAGGCAATTTGATGAGTTTGTCAAGTACCAAACAACGGACAACGATGAAGTCCACCACGAAGAAGTAATTCCTCCACTGATTATCTCGGATGAAGTTAACGATCTTCACGAACTAGCATCCAACGACATCGGTATACTTAAAGAACATCTCTGCAAGGAAAATAAGTCCAAACTCATAATCTGGCTTCAGAATATAACGATGGAGGCGTGTTTCGCTAAACTGGCATTGGCCAATGGAAACATTCACGGATTTTTGGACGATGCAATTACGGAACCTTCCGCTCACCACTATGCCCGTAATATAATAATTATAAAGCAATAGCATATATATATAGTTTAAAATTATTTCTTTTTCGACTCTTTCCAGTGCTCCACCTACCAATACCAGTTATACCGTGGACGAGTGAGCAGAACAATGCATTGAAACATCGACCGTTCGTTCTTCTCTTACACAATCTCGGTTTCTACCTACCGGCGGATACTGGAAAGATCTTTGTTAGGATTCCAGACTTCTGGACAGCTGACCACCTTTTCAGCGTTGCCCAACAGCTCGGCCCCATCGATTCAGGTAATTAAAAAAATCAATAAAAATAAATAAACAAATCTAATACAAACGGATATCTTCTATGTTCAGACCAAATCAAATTCGACATAGGTCTTTTGAAAGGACGACAAAAAAATGCGGAATGTTTCGACGAAATGTGGGTTACACCAGAAGCAAATAGCAACGGAAATAAATTTTCCACTTCATCACTTCATTATCACGGACGTCAAACACCGTCGATGGTCCGATACACGCCCCTGTAAGTACATACACCAATATGAAGCGAACATCATATTAAATACACATTATTTACAACCTTCCGCATCAAGTCCTAATTCGGCAGAGTGGATTCGAACGGTGCTGGAGGAAAGCAAAATCGTGGACGTCGACTGCGCACTCGGACGCTCCAAGTAAATTATCTTCTTTATTTTTTGCACTTAAATTCCTCGCGTTCTCATATCAGCATATGCATGTTTTATTGTGTGCTACAATAGCGAGCTGTCCATCGCGATCCCTCGAATAGAAGAGAAGTCGTTGCCGAATAACCTCACGCCTCCTGATGTGCGGATCGCCGAGAGAGCGGAACCAATAGATATGGAAACCTCGCAGACAGAGGAAGAGGATAAGGAGCTTCCTTTCACAATGAACGAGGACACGTACGAGACGACATCGGTCGCTTCCGACCTAACCCGAATGTGCGTGAGCGATGAAGAAGAGAAAAATATTTGAATATAAAAAGAACAAAGTAAAGAAGGAAAGTTTCGTATTTTTATAAATATTTAAATGTTTTTCACTAAATAAAGCTAAAAAATAATCACGGGGCTGGTTTCATGTCGTGCAAATAGATGGAGTGTCTTTCGAGCAGTTCCGCGATTGGGTCCTCTTGATTGCATTCGTCATCGTACCTCGATCCTACAGCCCACAACGAGTCCAAATCGTATTTCGCGCGAGCCTCCTTAGAAAACACATGCAATGCAATATTTCCCATATCCAGAGCCATCCAGTCTCTGGACTCCTGTCCCTCTAGCTTTGGCACTGTATCGTTTCTACCCATTTTTAATTTGTACACCTTCCTCACAAACTGGGACATTGCAAGCATATGTCGATATGACTTTGCATTGACCAGGCAAATATAGTTTACATAGTTGATGTTCTTTGGGACAGCAGCAACAAAAATGTTCAGACCATTCTCCTTTTTCAATATAGAGACTAAATCCTCTATGTCATAAACTCCACTAATGCCACCTAAAAATTAAATACAAATAAACACCAGAAGATTCAATTCATACAATAGATCATACTCACGAGCCAAGTTTAATCCTTCATAGGGATTCAGCATTTGGTCAACTTCATTTTCCAGCAATTCTAAATACTTCAATCTCTCCTCATTCACATCCATAATGATCTCAGAATCTTCGTCTTTGAATACTTGATATTTCCTGCTCAGTCCCCCAAGTTCAACAGTTGTTGTTGATCCATCATCTTTGGTCACCTGTCTCTCACTGAAAATCCTATTTGCAATTTGAAAACTGCACCTGCACTGATGCTGGTTCACTCGATTCCATAGTAACCTTCGTACACCGGAGACAATCATTGCCATTCGAAAATAATTCCAGCGTTCCGCTTTTAGGTTATAGCAATATCAACAAAAATAATGATTGTAGGCAACATTACTTACAGCTATGATGCAAATGGTGACAGGACCAAACATAACCAGCACAGTACGTAACATATCAGGACAGGTTAAAACAGAACGTCATACAAGAGAACATGACAAAAGAAAACAATGATAAAACAGAATAGTACTAAAAAAGAACGGCATAAAAACATGACTTCGGAAAAAATATTGATTAAAATTCCAATAAATAAATGACATACATTTATTATCATTCAAATTCAAAAATACATTATACAACGAAATATTTACAAGTACAGTGGATCCTCATTGTAAGAAAATGACTCCCGGAATGCGCGCCTGCTACATCATTTTCAAAACTTGTGTACACATAATATTTGTATTTTTGAATATGGTTCACTATACGAGTAAAAAATCCGAACATTTTGGAACGGATAAAACTCGTTAAGCAAGATTCCACTATAATTTATACAGTGGAAGTTGAGTTATATTGCGGCATACTGACTCGCGTTAGCCTGTTATGTATAACCGTTATTGTTTATATTATGTTAGCCCTTATTATTTTATACATGTATTGTAAGTAAGTTATTATGACTTAGTACAAATACTACTTAGGAAGATCCCATAACTAATCATTGTGTAACGACTATTCTTAATCACTATTGTTAATCACCATGTTGTGCACAAATTCAAAGGGCCAATCGATAATGACTACTAATATGTACATCTGCCTAATCTTTTAATGATTAGGGAAAGTTAGGTACTATATTCCCTTATCAAATATTGTACTCCCACTATGCTAATTCACTACTATATAATAGAATGTTTATGTAATACAAAAGAGAGTCAGAGTCCTAGGGAGTCAAAGTCCAAATCATTTATAGTCCTAGCTAGTCGCTAGTCTAAGTTAGTTTTAGTCTTAGAGGAGAGTCCTCCCGAGTCCTAGTTAGACTCATAAAAACCCTAGTAACAACAAGCAACTGGAATCTAGACATAAAAGTTATTAATAATCTTCTAGTGAGTAATAAAGTGTTTATTATCATAAAAACTCCAACTTCACCTCTAGCTTTTCTTAAAAACTCCCCTAGGACTCCACAACGACATAACTACGAGATATTCCACAGTGTCCAGAGATATTTGAATCCCGGGATACGACAAGATCATAACCGAATTGTTCCAAATTATGATTTTTTATTTAATTAAAAACAACACATTTTGAAATTTACTTTATTATTTTTATACATTTTTATAAAATATAAAAATCAATTCTGTTCAGATAATTCATAAAGTATAGAAGTAATATTTCTTTCAAAATAATAATAGTAATATTTATTAAATAAATACAATACAAAAATACAATAAAAAAAATGAAAATTATACTGCTGCAAAAAATAAAATGAATGTGTTATCACTTTAATTTTTTTCACATATTTTATTTTTCCAATGTTCTGTTTTTATGCTGTTCTTTTATGTTTTGTTTTGTCCTATTCTTTTGTATGACGTTCTGTTTTATTGTTTCCTGATTTGTCATGTTCTATGCCGGTGAGTTCTTTTTGGTCCGGTCACCCAAATATAGATATACATCATTGGCGGGCGGCCGGTCCATGGTCCAGGTTTCATATTGTATCATATTCGAATTTCGTGTAGTTTTACTGTTTGTTACGTGATTATCTCATACAATAAAAAAAGTTGTGTTCGCTCGGCGGTGCGCGCCACTGCATGGATTTGGATTCAGGATATGCTTACTTCGCGCATGCGTAAATTTGACAATTTCTTTACTACTGGTAGAAGCTGTTTGCGGCTTTGCTTCCATTGGCTTCCTGCTTCCATTGCATAAAACGCAGTGTCGATTGATATACCATATAAAGAGCTGGCTAGTTAATTTCTATATAAGAAGATAATCATTTCCGTGGTAAATTGTTTATTTTTTACTTTATTTGAATTAGGTGTCTCAATTATTTTAAATCTATTTCTAGTGTACTGTTTCAGCACATACGTGTTAAAATTATCATTGATTATGGCCCTTAAAATGGAAAACCTAAGTGACTATGAAGGTGAACTTACAGCCGAGGATAATTGCAATTGTTTAATTGAAGATATGATTAAAAGAAAATTTGCTTCTCTCCCGTTTGTTGAAAAAGAGATTATTGTCAATAGCCCGAAGCCCGCGCCAATATTAAGTATTCAGTCTCAAACAAAAACATTTAAAAGACATTTTAAAAAAGAAATTTACGAAAATATTCCGTGGATTTGCGGATGTGCTCATTTATCAAAATTATTCTGTTGGCCATGCATTTTGTTTTCAGAAGAACTAAATGTCTGGAATAAGTTCGGATTTTCTGATCTAAACAATATCAGTAAATCATGCAAGAGACATGAATGCTCTCAATCTCATATATGCTCTACTGTACAATTCAAAAATTTTGGAAAGGGAGTTCATATAGAAGAAAATATTACATTGCACAACAAGGAAGTTACTGCAAATCGATACATTTTATCGAAATTAATAAACGCTATGTGTTTTTTGACAAAACAAGAACTGCCTTTACAAGGACATTTTGAGCATCACCAATCAGACAATAGGGGAAATTGTGTTGAATTGCTACATCTACTGAGTGAATTGGACCTAAAATTGGAAACCCATTTGGATAATTCTCCAGTGTTTACTGGAATATCAGACCATATTCAAAATGACTTAATATCTTCAATTTCAAAAGTCTTGCGAGACGAGATTAAATCTGAAATACATGCATCAAAATTTGTTTCTTTAATTGTGGGCGAATCTACAGATATAAGCCGCTCAACTCAACTGTATACTATTTTTAGATATGTGGACGAAAATAATGACATTCACGAGAGATTTGTTGGATTTGTCGATGTTAGTCCTGACAGAACAGCTGATGATCTTTTTCAACATATATGTAAGACCTTAAAAGAATTTGAATGTTCGGACAAATTAATTGCTCAAACGTATGATGGAGCGGCTGTAATGTCCGGGGAGCATAATGAAGTTCAACTAAAAATTCAAAATATTTGCCCTAATTCTTTGTTTGTCCATTGTTACACTCATAGATTGAATCTAGTTTTGTCGCAATCTGTTACGCATATAGCCGAATGTAAACGTTTTTTCAAAAAAATATTGTCATTTTCATCGTTTTTCTGTAAATCTCCAAAAAGAATTTCCCTTCTCGATTGTGAAATCCAGAAACGATTTCCCACTGCTGCCCCGACACAATGGAATTACAATAGCAGAATTTTGAATAAGGTGTTTGAATATCAAAAGGAATTGTTGACAATATTCGATCGAATAATGAAGTGTGAAGATGAATGGGATAATGACGCTGTTATGAATGCCGAAGTGCTTCATCGTTATTTAAAAGATTTTGAGTTTAATTTTAATTTACATTTATTTTCAGGGATATTTGATTCAGCAGATTCTTTATTTGAAATTTTACAAGAAAAAACATTTGACATAACGTATTGCATAAATGAAATTAAAAATTTTGTGAAATTTTTGGATGGTAAAAAAGTCGATTTTGACTCGATGTGGAACAAATTAATAACTGCAAAATTTAATAGAAAAAGAAAAGTTGCTGAATGTATGGCAGATGTGAAAAAGACGTATAAACTTCGATATTCTAAAATTTTAAAAACTCTTTCAGCAGATACAACAAATCGATTTCGAGATATTGAAAATTTAAAATTTATGGAACTTTTTAACGTCGACAAATTTAAAATTTATGAAAAGAATTTTCCAGATTTCCTATTTAAATCTCTTCAGCTATCTTATGGAGAATACTTTGATTTTATGAGGTTGAGAAGTGAATTGATTTACATATACTCGACGCCTAACTTTCATTTAAAATCTATAAATTGCATAAAAAAAATTATTGTGAATGATGAACTAAGTGACATTTTAGCACAAGTACTTGATTTAATACAGTTAATTTGCACTATACCGTCAACTAGCACATCGACTGAACAAATATTTTCAACTATGAAAAGAATCAAAACATTCACCAGAAGTAGCCTAAGTGAAGATCTCGCTTTAATATCAATCGAAAATAAACTACTGTTAAATTTGAAAAATAATCGAAAATTGTATGATGTGGTTATCGACGAATTTTGTAAAAAAGAGCAAAAAATAAAATTAATTTTTAAGAAATAAATCTCTAACCTTTAGGAGTTTTTTTAGTTTAGCTTTGTGACTTAAACACTGTAGCTCATTTGATCTTTATTTTATTATGTTTATTAACTGTTTACAATTTTCTATTTTTATACTTGTTATATAATGTATAAAGCTCTTTGAACGTGTATATAAATAAATGAAAGGTTATTTATTTTGACAGCATCTCCTGATTAAGTCACCGACCGTCACTGATATATGTATATTTGTACGATTCTGATCAAAATCCCAACCATTCCCGACAGTAACAAAATCCAGATTAACGATAATAAAAATTCCACCGATATCAAATGTCGGGATTTCGATGAAGACCCGCCCCGACGAAGAAAAAAAATTGACAAAGATTCAAGAATGACACAGCAAGTTTTCGTTTTTCCCAATATTTCTTAGAAAAATTTGAAAATGGAGTCTAATGGAGTCTAACTCTTTTAGGAAAATCGTAACAGATGATTAATCTTGGTTCTATAAGTAAGACCCAGAAACCAAGCAGCAGTCCATTCTATGGAGCACAATGTGCAAATTCCCAATTAAAGCAAGACAACAAAAATCAGAAACAAAAGTGATGATGTCGAATTTCGCTACTTTACAATATTCTAGCGTCGTTTGATTTTTGGCTGTTTCCGAAATTTAAAAAAAAATGAGGCGATTTTGAGGAATGTTTTGAAAGGTGGCTCTACCGACTTAAGAAATGTATTGAAATAAATGAAAGTTATGTAGAGAAATTACAAAATGACGAAAATTAAAAATATTAAAATAAAATTGTTTTTATTTTGTTTTTCAAGCCAACTTAACGAAGTTTTGTTAGATCCCTCAAATAATAGTCCAATTTTTTGACAATTCGTTAAACTTAAAGAATTAGAAAATAATATTGATCTTGAGTAAGTTTGTTTATATTGTTTATTTATTTTTATTAGTTTCCTTTGAAATGATTTTAATCTTAGTTAGTTTCCAGGCTTTAAAGATCTAATAATAAAATAATGCACAACAAAAACACGCACACACAAGTTTAACCTTTCCTTAACTTTAACAATAAAAATTAATACTGAAAGACTTTGTGATCTCTACAGAAGGTGATGTTTTTGATTGCTTATTTTCACTCTCACCATATTGGATTTCTCTGACAATAATAATTATTATTATCAATATCAATTATCACACAATCAATAACTATAATAATAATTATGTATCTATATACTTCATATTCAACAAAAGTAAATTATCTTTCCTTTTGCTGAATCTCATATATATAAATATATATATATATATATATGTATACATATACAAGGTGTAATAATTGTAAAAATATTTCCATAGATGAAGATTTTTCGTATAAAAAAATATTACATCCGTCCGATTCTTTGTTGGATAATGTATGTGTGTTTGCGCGCGGTATAAAAAAATAAATTATATTACAAATTCACTATGGGTTACTATCGTGTCCTGTCAACACTGTTTAGTGGTTGGTTACCTAGAGCTTTTTGTAACAACTCGACAACTGTTGTTTATGTATTTTGATTCACATTTGTACGATTTTTCAATCTCATTCAACCACCATGCCCAAAACACCCAGCATACGAGCAAGACTAGACGATGACCTTCATGAGGCCGGCCTGACTGCCTGTGCCTATGCTTGAGTCATCCAACGAGTCCAGATCCAGGGCGCTCTCTATCATCGTGGTATCTCGCAGTATCCTCAGACGGCTAGCACTCATCGAAATGTTCTCCTTGTCCTGTGTTGTGAGATCGTTGTTGTCCAGCTTGTTGTTTCTCTTCGCGACGCCGTTGCTAGAGACGACCGTGTCCATAATGTTGTTAAGGATGTGTGCCTCGCGGATCTCCACCGGGTCCAGGTGCAGATCCTCTACGGATGTCATCTTCTGGTCGAGATTTTGCGCGAAAGAATGAGACTTGTTGAGCTGCACGTTGCTGTAGAGCGGTCCGCCACCGTGCGCCAAGCAAGGCTGCGACGTGTACTGCTGATCTTTATGCTGCTGCTGCGTCTGCTGTTGTTGGTGATGGTCCATGGGAAGGATTGCCAGAGGCTGCTCGTTGCTCACCAGGTGCGTCACGCTGCCAGCGTTTGACTCTGCAAACACGTATACACACGCAATTAATAAAAATCAGTAAACGCTAAACAAATTCAAGTAAAATATAATATAAAAGGCGGGCGCGGTCAGTCAGTCAGCGTAAATCGAAAAAAAATAATAAACAACAGAATAGAACAGCATATTATATAAACGAGCCGAACACACATGCACACATTTTTATCTAGAATAAACGCAAAAGAAGTAAAGTGGTAGAAGTTGAAGCAGGTTCTAAAAAGAGCGTAAATAAAAATGTTCATCTCCACATGCATCATATAACTCAATAAAACCAGGACCGCATTTAGCCCATATTCTAAATATTTTATTGTAATATTTGATCATTCAAACGTAACTTAAATACGGCCCTGAATTCTCGAAATCTCAACTCAAGTGACTTACCGGCAAGGTAATATTGATATTGGTGAGGGATAGAAATAAATACACATATACATACAAAGAGAGAGAGAACGAAAGAGTTAGGAAAGATACAAGGAAGTTTTATGAAATTTCTCAATTTCAATGTCTCTTCGATCGAAAAACGTCATGCATGCTTGCTTTACATGCTTGCACAACACAACACCCTCAGATGGGAGGAATCGAAAAAGATAACAGAAAAACACATCATCATCACAACACTGGTAACAATAACACAAATAGTACATACAGCAAAATGAGAGTACAATAACAATTGAGATTATTAACAAATAAACACATTAAAAAGTTGCATTTGTACATCTACGAAATAAAGATGAAGTGGAACGTAAATGTCATAGTAATGGGGTTTATATTTTTAGTGGCGTAACCAGAATTGCCGTTCACTACCATTTGATTCGTCAAATGGTAGTGAACGGCATATTTAATATTTTATTAAATCTGTTGATTGGACGGACCGCTAAACTTTTTAAGAAGCCGTTACGGAAGAAAGAAGATGAAACTTAAAGAAGCGAATCACATAAATTTGCATCATATTGATTTATCACTGTATTCCAGTTACGCCACTGTATTGCAGTTTTTCGTATTATAGCTTATTATGTTTAACATCATCATTATTATCGTCAATTAATTGGTTGTATTTGGCGCAGATTTAAATGCAATAGTTTTAATTTGCAAGATTTCGATATTAGATGACATCGAGTTTCGTTTTTGTCTTGTTTGATTGTAGTAATTTAGCCTAGATTGTTTTGTATATAGAGCCGGCTGAATTCCGGAGTGGGGAAATTATTGACCTTGACGTTGGCGACGCTGTAGATGCCCTGCCGCGATCGCGCACCACTTTGCTGACATTCGTTCGAGTTACAGAGGTCCTCTTCCTCCTCTCTCTCTTCCTCCGTGGCATGTACGTTGCGGTAAACAAAGCCGCCGCTGTGGGGGCGGCGTTGCGGCCGATCGGCGACCTGTCGCAGCCCGAATGTGGAACTGTATCGTTTCTCGGGGGGCGTGTAGTTGGGGCGGCGCGCGGTCGTCGCCCCATCAAAATAACGATCGAAATTTGTACTGTAAATGTTCGGCAGCGCAGAGGGTACGCAACGCACCGGAGGAGGGGGCGGTGGAAGCGGCGAAGTCGTCGATTGCGGTAGCGAATTGCTGTTGCGGATGTCGGCTGCAGCGGCGGCGACGGTAGTGACCGCCTCCCCCAGCAGCGCCGCGCCCCTACCACCACCACCACCGAAGGCGGCGGCGGCATATTCATCGTAATCGACGTCGTTGCGGGCGTATCGGTCTGGGGCGGCGCAGTATCGATGATGATCGATGTGTTGAAGGTGATGGTTGTATTGGTATTGTTGGTGGTACCGGGGCGGTGCGTAACCGTCGTAGTAGTAGTAACGAGGGGAGTAAATTGGGGACGGATTCAGCGGCACGCCTCCAGCGGGCGTGACCTGGTGGGCGCGTTGCAGCTGCTTTTTGATTGGCGCGTACGTACCCGTGTTCTCCGTCGTCTGTCGGTAAACTCCGGCTATCTCGGACGCCAAATGCGGACCATTCTGCAAAATAGATATACGTGAATCATCATTCTCTCTATTGCGCAAATATGAAACAGCCAATGCTCCTGCTTCTCTCACCTGTAAAGCGGCGGCAGCGGCAACAGCACCGTACGGTTTCAGTGGCAGCGACGGTTCTATAGTGATGGTGGCGTTCTTGCTGACCTCGAGTTTATACTCGTCTGTGACGAGGCCGCGTCTATCGATAAGCGATGGACCTATGGGACCACACAGGATGTGCAGACAGTTCAGGCAAACGTTGCCCTGGGAATAGGGATTGAATGGGTCCTGGCCCCTCTTCGAAGCAAACGAGCCCTTGATGTCTTCATTGGTCGTTTGGTTGCTTGTAGTGAGATAGGTGTGAAAGCCGGCCAGCCCCAAGATACTCCACACGCTGAAGAAACATATCAGAGCTACCACCATGCTTGCAGGTGATGCTTTCACCGCCTCCAGGAACTGCCCATCTTCCTTGCTTACTAGAAACATAATTTGAATGCGAAATCTGAGTTCAGCGACGGTTCGTTGGTTGCTTCCGGAATCGCACTTACTTAAAATCAGATGAGCAATGGCACACGCGAAGATGAACACAGCGAGAAAAGCCAGTGACACGATGAACATGTAGAAGAACCTGTAGTTCCGTCTACCTACGCAGTTACCCACCTGCAATTACCAATTATTCTGTTATAATAAAACGGTTCATTGTCCACGTACGCTGTTAGAAGAGTTAAACAATAACAATCGAGTATTGCCAATGTAAAGACAAAAGGACTTCCCGCAAATTTAAATTATTGAACTCCTAAGAGATTAGATCAGAGTGATCCGACATCTAAAATACGGGATTAAAGTAACCTTGACGCTCGAATTGAAAATCGTTCGCGCGTCAACGCCTTTATCTCGGGAGGTATGCGATTGCTAATAATATATAAAAATAATCCTAAAACAATATCGATAATTATCGACTATTATTGCGATAAATTGTCGTAATTGTGTGACGACAACGGCGATAGCACTATGCTATTGTTATCATAATAATAATTTAATAATTAATTAAAATGAAGAGAACGTTACACACCCATGGACAATGATGATCGAAACGATCAACGCAATTATCGCAGAGACTGCAATGCGAAGCTCGCGGAGGTCGAAAAATCTTGCAGGTGAAGCAGTACTTCAGCTTCACGGTTTGACCCTTGACGAGCACCTCCTTGGTCCTCGGTGGCGGCCTGTATGTCGGACTGTTGGCGGAATTCGTCACCTCTAGAATTAATTAATTAATAAATGGTCATTAACGAAGATCATAGTTTTGCCATCATCATACCTATTTGCTTTTCGACGTACGCAGCTTCTTCGAAGGTGGCCCTAGGTATAATGCCTGGATCTGTGAGCGACGTCCGCAGTAGCGCAGAAATCGTGAATAGGAATAGGAGCCCCCCTATTATCGGGATTGCGATTGTTACATTGACTGCCAGGTAAGTGCAACTAAAACGACGACATACAGAGATATGATGATATTGTATGTGTGTGTACTTTTCTTATTTAATATTTTGCATTGCAAAGAATGTATGTGTGTGTATTTCAGTGAGAGATGGAAATACTTACTCATATATGAAAAATAGTACACTGGTGCCTGTGATGAGGAATACAGTGAGTAGGAACATGCCCGAGTGTGGTGCAGTCATGAGTCTGCCATTACAATAAAACCGGTTCCTGCCAGCAAACACTTCCCACTTTCTGGTTACTTGCTCTTTGGCCATATCTTCACTATCTTGAATTGTTCAAAAAAAAAATATATATATACACATGTGTGTGATTGTGTTTATATGATTTTTGTGAAAATAAATAATGTGGCAGAGAGAGAGAGGGAACAATTAGAAAGGGGGATCATAGCAGATACAGAGAGATACAGATAACAGCTGATCATCTCCACACTCACCTTTGATGAGTGTTCTTGGCGAGTGCTGCAGAACAGGCTGATATTCCTTGGACATAAACTGTGGCTGCCACCAGACAGACTTGTCTTTTATTATCGTATCACAGTTTACACTCTTATTAATGTTGTTGTTGCCGTTGATATTAATGTTACTATTACTACTACTACTGCTGCTATGTCCAGTCTGGGATATTTTTAAGGCAATAGTCATCACTGTACATTATTCCTGCTATTTCATGCAACATATTCCCAAATTTCCCATTACTTTTTACACCAAATTCACGTTAGAAACACTTTCTTTAATGATAATAAACTTTACTGCAGAAAACATGAATTGTTCAGATTTCCGAACTAAAAAAGAACTCAACTAAAACCAAAATAATTCCACTCCACAATCAGTCTCTCTCTCTCACTATTTTTCTGTCCCTATCTTTCCCTAAAGCCTATTAAAGACTCGGTTGTACGTGGGTCTGACATCCCTTTGACGGACGTCAAATACTTTTTCGCACACTTTCTATGAAAACGTCAAAGCATTCGTAGGCAATCGCATTATTTTCTCCTTTTCATTATACACGCATACGCACTTTCACTTTATTAAACTATTACCTAGAAATGTCAAGCATATGAATCATCATGCAAAATATCAACTCGGAATGAAAGCCACTAAATGATGACTAATTACTAGCAATTAGTCTGGTTAGTTTGTAGGCCACACGTGTAACTTCCCTGTCAAATATTATATATTCATTATTTAATTTTGTAGCAACTTAATAATTTATCTTTATAATTATTACAAGTTTTTGATAAATCAAACTGAACTGATATTTTAAACGTTGGCAATATGAACTATTGACTATTTACAATTGGTGATTATAGAACAATTGATTAACCTTTGAAATTTCAATGGGAAATGAAGAAAACAAAAATACTTCCTACAAGTGGAAAGGTAATATTTATACAGCTATTTTTATTGCAAATTTTATAGTTCGATGTAGATACTACTAAATTTAATATTTCTTATTTTTTTTTTTTTTTTTTTTTTTTTA